TACACTCACAGGATTACAATGACAACAACTCGTGTAGTGCACTTCAAGTTCTGTAGGCAATGGTTGCCTTTCATTTCCTAGGTGTAGGGACATGCTTCGGCTGGTTTACAACACAGATAAGCATCCACACAGTACAGTGTGTGATGTACTACTCCTTAGAAAGCCCTAGATTGTGCTAGGTGTGGTAGCTACCAGGACTTTCCCTTGCAAAGGCTCCGACGGAGGTAATGGCCTCACGTGGTGGTCACGCCGAGGAAGTCACAATTATCTGATGGCCCACAACTTTGGTTGATGAGAATTGAGTTGACCTGCCACTGCCCATCGTGCCCTGTCTGGACCGTAGTTCTCAAAATGGCATCAGGTCGGGATTCAGAGTTGCACAGCTCTGTTACAAACAACACACGAAACTTCAACAATGTCATTGCACGAAGGACGAAACGACCCACTCAGCACGCCAGCATCGAACCAGCAGCCCAAGCCCCGCCTGCACCGAAGAAAAGACGAGTACAGGGGACGTTTACCCTTCCTATTAGGGGGCTAAAAGAACGGATGCCGGACTCTTCACAGGCAGCTTCGAGCAGTATGAACTTGGGAACACGTATGTTTACTCAAGTTGAAGATCTTTTCTCATGACTCATCGATGTCACAGCAACGGCAGGTGTGACTGTTCACAACAGCGGAGGTACGTCCGCCGTCGGAGGTGCGGAGGTCCGCTCGGGCGCCGGCGGGACCTCCGCCATCACCCAGGGATTGCGGGTCGGGCCTTCCACCAGTCTGTACGAGCATCTGCCAGACAATCAGCCCATCGGCCTCGACGGAATGCTTCACAACCCAGCATCGTCAACTCCTATGCTCTCAAAAGAGAATCAGCCTCCAGCACGAAATGTAGGGATCTCTGCTTCTATTGTAATGCTTTGCTAACAGACTGTATAGACAAACGTGGATCAGATGGCGAAGTTTGCAAGAAACAACACTGCTGCCAAATACGCCAATCGCATCATTGAGTACTATGGTCCTCCGAAGGTTATGGATTGCGCCGACTGTGGGAAGATCGATGGCGGGCTTTGGCATTGTGATGGTTGCCGGCGCGACAAGGACCTTTGCACACCCTGCCTTAGGAAGAGGCACATGTCAAACCCCTTTCATCGAGTTCGCTACTTCACAGGAACACAGTACCGTGAAGCAAGCCTCAGAGACGCGGGAGTCTTCATTCAGCTTTGCCCTAAAGCGACGGGCACCACTCAATGCCCTGGATATGAAGAAAACCGCTTTAAACTGCCAGCAGGCTTCGA